CTCCCGTCCTATCTGCTCTGGTCTCAGATGCTTGTGAGAAACATGTGTCCTTATTGGCCCTTCTCGTCGTCAGGTCGATCATCCGTTTCATAAGTCCAAGCAGCCATCCAACCGAGAAATACGCATCTCATAGACATCAAACATTAAATTCATGAAATAGTGTCACAGCTAAATCAGCTAACGTTTTAAATGAAGCCCACCACAAAATAGGACAAAGGCCTTTACGAAGATCAGAAACAGAAATCCCAAGCATTATTAAGACAAGCAAAAAACAGCCATAAAAAATCATAAAAAAACCATAAGAAAATCATAAAACAGGAAAATAACAGAATCATAAAAAAATCATAAAAAACCCATAAAAAACTCATAAATTTGTATCTTTTTATGATTTATTTATGTTTTTTTATGCACACCATAAATAAATCTTAAAAAACCATAAAAAACCATAAATCAGGAAAATGCCAAATCATAAAAAAATCATAAAATTTCCATAAAGATAATTATTTGGGATTCCGGGCCTGTAGTAGGACTTCCGGACTCACAACTCTTGTCCACTTCATAGTTGTCAAGGTCTCTTGATCAGCAGGTTCCAACTGTAACCGTTCCAATGCGGGTTTGCTGACAGCCACTTGCTGTACGTTGTTTGCACCATCTTCAACACTTGCTGCCACCAAATACTTGAAGACGCTGACAAATCTTGCATCGGCACACTCACTTGGGCAAGCCAGTCCTGGAATGCGATCCCTGCTGACGGTTCTTCCGGCCCCAAAAGCGCAGGAAGGGCCACCGAAGTATTCTTCACCTGCTCCGATGAGTCATCCTCACCTTCCTTCTTCATCGTTTTGAGCTGAAGCTCCTGTAGCCCGACGAGGTTCTTGGTTAGCGCCTCGAGTATCGCCATCGTGGAAGATTCGTCACCTCCTCCAGTTCTGTTGTGCTCCGCATCGATTGCGATAGGCGCGTCACGCACTCTCTCATCGGGCGAGGGTGCTCTGCGAGATTGAAACTCTTCCCACAACGCCCCAAGAGGATCTCTCCACGGGTCAGGCCTTGAGCGGTTCCCACCCATAGGCTCCACATAAGCCCGTTCACTCCCACTGCCTTGTCGAGGATGATCTCCTTGGAATACGGAAGGACCTTGAACTCCACCATGAGGAACCCCACTAGGTACCAACAGGATCTTCTGCACGTAACTCAGCTGCACTAGCTCGACTTTGCTGAATAGCTTGTGCCCTAGTTCTATCCAACTCCTCCTGAAGCCGCACATTGGTGTTCTCCGCGGCCTGCAACCTGTCTAGAAGGCCTCCCAGTTGTCTTTGGACTTCTGCTTGGATCGCTTCTGCTGGTAGGCTGCTGCTGCTCGGGGTGTTGTAGTTAGGGCCTAAACCACTAGCACGCTGCTCTTCTACTGTCGTCCCCGCAACCCTATCAAAACCTTGCCCAGGTTCCTGACGAAGCCGTCCTTGCACGCGCTGAGGTTCCAGTAAACGGCGTGGGCGAGGCGGCGAAGGCAACGGACTTGGTAGCCATGCCACCGGTGGAGCTTTAAACATGTCCCCCAAGCGAGTGATCCATCCAGGCCATGCGCCATGAGCTGGTCTGAATCCTTCACCAAACGACGGGGCGCTCCCTGACGATCTCGGGGTAACGAACACTCCAGACTGAGAGTCCCCACCTCCCATTGCAGAGTAACTCACGTAGTCTCCAGACAGTGCTGCAGCCGGCATCGCTTCGCTTGAGATCCTTTGAGGTTCTGTACTGGCTCCAGCCTGCATCCTCTGCACACCATCATCCACCACGGAGTTCTGTACTCTGCTTCCTGTAGGTTCATCTTCAGCAATAGCAGATGGTGTAGTCTTCGGCTCCTCGGTCACTGCCTTCTCCAAGCCCAGTCCCCCACCTCCACTACCACAACCATTCATCTGCGGCCCTTCCACAACTGTAAAATTACAGCTCCCGAGGAAGCCGCTGCGGTTTCCTCCGCCCGCTCGGCCATCTCCAATGGCCGGCCTTTGTTTTCATCACGCAGTGCCGCATCTCCACTAGCTTGGGCGCTCATAACCTGAAGAACGCTCTCAGGTTCACAGCAAAGCAAACGACCATGGGCAGCGCTCAAACGAATTTAAAGGTTTTTTTCCACAACACAACGCGTCGAAAGCTCGCTGCGGACATACATTCGTATCCGTGCAGCTTAAGCTATGCGGTTGGTTCCGAGCTTGCTGTTCTGCTGGCTTCTGCCTGGAAGGGCTACTGCCTAGAAAGGCAAACTCTACACTGGCTCAAGGGCTTGTTCTTCGCAGCCTTCCCTTGGACCACAAAACCGGCATCGCAACAATTCAGCACTCCAGAAGCCAAACCCAGCTCCTCACGATGCACCGAACTGAATTAAATATTCTCCACATCTTCAATTATGCTATTAAGGAAGGTCTAGATAACAGGCCCTACCGCGAGACCCGTGCATCGCCAGGTATCCCAGAGGGAACCTACAATCCGCGACCCCGCGGCAAGGGACCAAAGAAGGTGCCACCGAATCCGCCCAAGGATCGGTGTGCCAACTGCACCGACTTCAGCTGCTCAGCTACGCCGGTAGCTCAGCAAACTTTGTGCGGAAGACTTGCCGCGATTGTGTCGCAAGAGCGCCGCGAGCACGTGTACCCGGTAGACTCTGCCGTATGCTCTCACGAAGCAACGGATCACAGGGGAAGTTCGAGGACTACGTCCCGAACCTTGTGTCGCATGTGTGGGACCTTTAGATGAGGTACCCCAAGACTTTCACCGAGAACGCAAGGCCGTCTCGGAAAAGCTGCTCGAAGCGACAGAGCAAGCGGTTCCCATTATCCAAGCCCTTACCGCGGACGACGCGACTGCAGACCTCAACCAAGAGGCTGTGGAACAACTCATGGCAGTGTTCCAGGATCGTGTAACACAGGCGATGGCGCAAGAGGAACGCAAACACCCCGCAGCTTTGCACGAGTGGTTGCGCGAAGCCGTTGCATCCGTAATGGAGCAAAGCCCGACAAGCCCCGCCTGGGGATTCGTCCCAACAGAAATGGTGGCCCAAGGCCGCAGCCCGGGCAAGCACCAAGGCGAAAGGGCAGCCGCAGGCTCCCGAGCAGAGGCCCGAAACCACCGCAGAGCCGGAGTTTTACCGCATATCGGACCTTTTTGGGGCCGATACCTTTGTGGGCAGCCCGTGCCCCGAGCTCGCTGACTATCGCGAAGCCATTCTCCTGGAAAGCTTTCGCGCAAACAGCGAGCTCCACGACCCGTTTCTGGGCGATTCCTCGGACGATGGTCCCCTGGAAGTTACAACGTCGAGGAATTGGATGATGCCCTCAAGCGGCAAGCCGCCGAGGACGCACAGAAAGAGCCAGACCAAACTTTTGAGCGAGCTCGTCAACAGATTGCTGCCGACGAGGAACCGGACTCTATAACGGTCCTCGACTCTGCCACTGCCCCAGCCAACAAGCTTCGTGTTCGCGGCGTGGCTGGCAGAGAACTCCGGCGCTTGGAGTATACCAGGCACGCAATCCAGTGCCGCATTGGCACGGACCGACAGAGCAAGACCGCGATGAGGAAAATCGTGCTCAAGCAGACGCCTGGCAACGCCGGCGTGATGCTATCCTGGCGGAAGCATATGCAAAACTGAGAGGAACCCTTCCAGGTCCTCTGGGGCGGGGAATCCTTCGGGATCCTCGTCTTCAGCACAGCCGCAAAATACCCCTAAAAACCCAAATCTCTACACTAAGGGAGTGAATAGTGACTTAAGGGTTGCAGCAGCGCAGTCTTTGGAACTTCGGTCCGCAGACGTAGCACAGGCGTATGTGCAGGTTTTGAGAAGCCATTGCCCGTGACACCCCGATGGACTACCCGCCCCGGGAGTCCAATGGGACCAGTAAGGCCGGTATGGGTTACCGAAGCCCCTGTCTGGTGCCGCTTTGGAGAGGACCGTGCGTCTGGGTAAGGGGGCTGTTCGTCCTAAGCCTAAGTGGGTTAAGCGTGGCAAAGGTAAGGGACACCTACCTTTGGAGGCTGAAGCCTCAACCCCTGGAAGCACCAAAACCAGAACCCACGGCGAAGCCTAAGGGGAATAACCCTCGGGTATTCCCAAGAAACATTGCAGGCGCAGGATCGACCTCATGCACCTGCACGATCCGCAACGATGATGGCTCCATGTCACATGTTCCCCTGGCCCGATGCAGTGAAACGGGTTTGCTACTACTTTGCTTAAGTACCTTTCCTAAGGACTTGCCGGAATGTGTGCAACACCTAAGGGACCCTAAGGCTAAGGCCCCTATAAGATCCGAGGTGTAAGCCCCCAGCAGAGCCTCACAAGTGTCCTGGACCCAGGTACCCTCACGGGACCTGGCGAGGGACCGGGGAAGGTACGGGAGACCGACCTTCGCCGGTAGCCATGGTTGTCCTGGCTCCAGTACCCGACTATGAGAGACTGGTTAACGGATGCCTCTGCAGCGCCACGTCTGTTCGCTTCAACAAGCAGGCGAACGAGTGGCCCAACATTGTGGTGCTGACAGGTGGGGCAAAGTATCAATTCGATAATCGCGGACGCGATAGAAGAATGATACATAAGAATGATACATAAAAAAGACGGATGGGCAGACCCGTTGCCGCCAAGCATTCTACACGTTAATGTGCGATTGCATGACTTTCACGAGTTGAACGACCCCAATGAAGGGGCGTTCGGATCCTGCGTTGGCCGTCACACAGGAATCCTTGAGGGGATCCTGAACACGCGCTCTGGACGCCACCTCTTGATGCTCTGCTTCGTGGATTCGTGGACATCGAGAAGGCCGTCGACGGGCACAAGCCGACGATAGTCCTGCCTTTCTGTACGTCGAACCGCCGCCGCAGCGTAGCCATGGGCACGCTTATCTCGGCGGGGCTCTACGTTCTTGGGATGGACCATTTTCTTGGCCATCTCCATGCTAACGAGAGCTGGGCTGGCATGAAGTGCGGCGGCAAGTGCGCCAGATTGCAACTCTACCCCCCAACTCATAGTCCACTTACCAAGTCCCCCCCCAATCCTCCAGTAGTAGTAAGCCAGACAACCCTAAACCCCAACACCCTAGGCCCCAAACCCTTGAAAGTCCATGAAGAGACCGATACGGGTAAGTTTTTCTTCAGTGGAGGGCGGCCAGGCCCCCGGAACCACAGAGGTAGTATAAAAGTTCTCTTTAAACCGCTTGTTTAGCTCCCTGTCCCTACACCTACACCCCTACACCCCTACACCCCCGAACGCCTGCACCCCTACACCCCCACCCCAACACCCTTGCGCCCGGCCCCCCTAGACACCAAACCTTCTGAGCCTGGACCCATGCAGTCAAAGTGGCTCGAGTGGCGCTTCGCCTCCCGAGCCCTCTTGGCCCTGCGACTGCGGTGGACCCCGTAAGGGGCTCGCGACCATGGACTGGAGAGACCGCCCAATCCGCGCAGGAGAGGCTTCAAGGCGAGATTCTGGAGCTCTTGGCCACGCCGAGGAATGGAACAACTGGTTTCAAGCACAGCAGGGGGTGTTTTTGTCTGGTTACCACCAACAGCAAACTCCGCATCCGCAGCAGACTCCGAGGTTTCGACGAGGCAAGATGGGCGAGCGATCACACCAAGTCGTGGAACTGGTGCCCTTGGAAGCTCTGCAGGCGACGACTACAGTACCTCTTTTGTGGACGGTCACGACACCATGGAGGCGATCGGGGAGACGCTCAATGTGGTGCCAGGAATCGACGACGATCCTGATGATGCCACGCCCTGGGCAGCCAACCTCTCCTTCCCCGACTTGATGGACCTCGCGCGGGACCTCAATGACGCAGGTCATGAGGATAAGAAGAGAGACGGCTGGAAAGGCCCCATGGGCCTAGGTGCAGGTAACACCAGGACCTTGTTGCACAATGCAAGGTTCTAGTGGAGGCCGCACAGCCGTGGGCAGCCACTCCCGTTCACATATGATCGATCACTGCGGGATTGGCTCAAAACAGTCATTCTGTTTGAGACCAACCACATTCGAATCATGCTTCGGGACGCGCCCATGGATGCCCAAGTACCGGCACTGCCGGACTGGGCCCCAGGCGAGGCACATAGATTTTTGGTCATGCCGGCTTCATGGACCACCGCTGCTCTACCTATAGAGGAGAGCGTAAGCCGGAAGGCCAAGGCAAGCGGAAGCAGTACCGCGATCAGTCGCGTGGAGCATACAAGGGGGATGGTGCGTTTGCTAAATTTCACGCGTCCGGGGGGGTTCCCTGCAAAAAAAATATAGTTTGGATGGTGGGGGGGTAAGTGATATTGTGATCGTGTTTTGGCATAGGTGTGTTTTTGTTTTCTTTTGTGCTGGTGGCGGGCCGTGGTGGGTGTGTCCATGCTACGTGGGGCGGGCCGGGCGGGTCTTGTGATGTACAGACTCACAGTGCAGCCATGATCAGTTTCCAAGGCCCAAAGCCCTTGTGAGCAGTCACACATAAACAAGCCACAGAGCATGCCATGTGAAAAAAAACACAAACAAACACCCTAAACACCCTTCGCCGGCGCCGGCTTCCTCATCCTCTTCTTCATTGCGTCCGGGGCTCTGATGTTTAGTTTGGGGTTTGGGGTTTAGGGGCTTGGGGGTCTGTGGGTTTCGGGTTTTGGGGTTTGGGGCTTTGGGGGTCTGTGGGTTTAGGGTTTAGGGCTTTGGGGGTTTGGGGTTTTGGGGCTTTAGGGGCTTGGGGGTTTCTGTTTGGGGTTTAGGGGTTTGGGGGTTTAGGGTTTAGGGGTCTGTGGGTTTAGGGTTTATGGGGAAAACTTGCGGGTTGGGGGTCCGATTGGCGGATGTGAGTTTTTGACAGGTGGGGAGTTTGGCTGGGGCAGCACATTAGTGGAATGATAGCACAAGTGTCTTAAGCTAAGAACAGAAATCTCATGTGGACCAAAACCAAGCGGGAAAGCTTGCTTCATGTTGATTCTCAGTACGACTACAAACGGTGAAAACCCTAAACCTCCTAAACCCTAAACCGTAACCCTGAACCCTAAACCCTATGTCGATCCTTTAGGTCTGAGACATATTCAGCTGGAGCTGTCAGAAAAGTTTCCAGGGACAACTGGGCTGTGGCAGCAAGGCATTCAGAGCGACGTTGCTTATAGATCCTTCGATGTCGGCTCTTCTTCCTGTCATTGAGACGCATGTTGGACTTTACTATACTATAATATGCTGTATAGTAAATTCATCGCACAATAGTATACTGAAGTATAATATCATAAAGTATGTTATCATACAATATCTCATAATCTAATCCAACAGAAATCTAAGCTAACTTGATGTAAAGTAATGTCATGTCATGTGATGTAATGTGAAGTGATGTGAAGTAATGTAATGCAATTCAATGTATTGTAATGTAATGTAACGTAATGTGATGTAATGTAATGTCAAGCAATGTAGTCTAAAGTAAAGTAAAGTAATGTAATGTACTGTAGTGTAAGAGGCAAGGAATATTTGGGTGCACATACTTTTGTTGTTGGAACACCGAAGGAACACCCAAAAGTCATATATAATTTTTGGAACCCGCTGTGTAAATCTAAGGGCTTTAGGAGGGACCCGTAATAGGGACCCTTGTAGGTTATTGGTATTAATATGCAGACTGCCTGGCTTTCTAAGGGGTGTATGAGGACTATACAATGGTTATTTAAGGTAATGGGATTAAGGGTCCCTATTAGAGGTCCCTCTTAAAGTCTGTGGATTAAAAACCATGTTTTATTTCTAGAAACCACAATTTTTTTTATTGAGCCTAACAATTTTACTTTTTTGTTGCCGGAACCCACAAGTTATGATTTTTTTGGGAACCCAAAAAGTTATGATTTTTTTTTGGGAAGCAAAAAAGTTATTTTTTTTGGGAAGCAAAAAAGTTATTTTTTTGGATCCTTCATTATAAATTAAATCTATAATTTTCAACCCAAAAATGCACGTGCCGGATTCGCTATTTTTTCTAGCCCGGACCTAAAAAAACATGAATCCGGGGCGTGCGATTTTAGTTTATAATGAAGGTTCCCCCAAAATTTGTTTATAACTTTCTTGCTTCCCCCAAAAAATCATAACTTTTTGGGTTCCAAAAAAATCATAACTTTGGGGTTCCGTTCAAAAAAAATCATAACTTCTGGCACGGCGGTCCAGCTGAGGAGGGACGGTTTCAGGGGTCATCAGTAACCTGCCGCCTCCAGTGAAGCTTCGCGCAGGGCGAGGCCCTGGGAGCCGTTCAAGGAATGGGGCGGCTCGGAACCCTCACCCTGCATCAGTCCCTTCGAAAAGCTGCCGAAGAACGGAATGCTGCCCTTATTCGGGCAGCTTCCCGTGCCCCGGAAATCCTCGGTTCCCGGGATGGAACCGGGGATTCCCGGCGGATGCGAAGCTGCCCAAAAAAGGGCAGCATTCCGTTCCCCCGGCAGCCCCTCGGCGGACGAACGCGCAGGCAAGGTCGGAATTCCGACCTTGCTTCGGGGGACCCGAAATCGACCAAAAATCCTGAGAGGAGTCCGAGCGAAGAGCAAAATGGCGTGCAGTGAGGCAGCGAATCCGCGTAGCGATTCGGAGGCTGCACCGTCAGTCTGGCCATTGCCCCAGGAAGTTTTTGATTAATCTCCTTAGGACTGCCAAGATCGACAAGGCCTATGTCGACGCCGCGAGGTTCCACAGGTGCAACGAGTGTGAAGATGCCAAGCCAAGGCGAAACGCGCATGCCGTATCCTTGCCGGAACTGTATTCGTTCAACCATGCCTTAGGTGTAGATGTCTTCGAGTGTTTAGATGCACAAGGCACTAAGCATCAGATAATGAACATGGTTTGCTTAGGTACGTGCTTTCAGCTGGTAGAGATCGTACGCGTAGGGGATGGTCTCCCATCTTCAGCACGATGCCTTGAGGCCATACAACGTCG